TTCTATTACGTAGAGGTCAAATTAACTCTCCAAACATTAATGCTTGGTAAATCCCTGGAGTGGGACACAAAAGCTATTAACAAGGCTCCAGAACATTAAAGATCTCACAGTTGCAACATAACCAATGCCAAATCCAGCTGCGGTTATTTTCCACGTTTTCTTTCAAACGTCTTGTACAAAAGGAGAGAATTTTTTTTGGTGCAATAGATTTCCCAAACCTCACACAGAGACTATGTTGCCTTTTCTCTCTCTCGTGCTAGAACTCCGAAGTGCTATAATGAAGTTGTGTGTACAATTGTCCATGTTTACACACATGAAAAAGTGACTCCAGTTACATTTTTAACCCCGATGGCACTTCACCTTACATAGCAATATGATCATTTTTGTGCACATGGTTCGATCATTGGGATAAAAATCTATACATTTCTCAGTAGCATTTGTTTTGAAGCTCAACAGTAGCAAACAGGTCTCCTGGCAAGTTGCAATTTAAGATTTTCTCAGTAGCAGGAATTGCAAGATTAAAACATTTCACACTGATGAAATGAAACATGCAACACGTTTTCTACAATATTACAAATGTAGGGTTAGAAAGGATTCCATTTCAAACTTCCTGTGACTGAAATTCTATATGTTCAGGATTGCTGTTAATACAGTATCTGGCATCATGGGGATTTATACACAACCCTCCCATACTTTTGCAGTTCATTTGTAGAGGCAGCCCAGGTCTAAACAATTTAAAACGATTAAGTACACAAATCTTCCTCAGCCTTCTTGACTATAGATCCTATTTCACGCATCCCACTCTTAGATGGGTTTATATTGCATTATGCTGAACAAGATTTGACTCTGTACAGCCTTGCCAAATTATAACAAGTTATGAAATTACAATGAAACCAGACAATTAAGCAAATATAAAATAATCAAACCCTAGGTAACATCAAGAGGTTATCAAATCTACTTTTAAAAATAAAGGATTCATATCTGCAGAATGATATTCATATCAACATAACCAGAGCATGGCCAATCTTATTGTCAAGTGATGCCTTATCATTAGTATTCCACAAAAAAGGCATGTGCGTGGATATTGGGGAAAGGCAGGATCAGAGCATCTCTCTTCTCCCCTCCCTCCAACACTAACTATATGGCTTCACACCTCAAAAAAGCACTTTGTCCATATAAATAAAATGCTGCCTGAGCTCGTGGAACCATAAGACAGCACAGGTCACTACGTTATATAATAATAATCCTTGCATTTGATATAGTGAATATACTTCACAGAATATACTGTAAAGTGAATTGACTGTATATTTTGAGGGCAAAGAATTTTCAGGTGTGTGTGATGGAGGGGAATTGTGTGAAAGCCTCCCACAATAGTTCAGTTTGTAAAGTTAATGTAAAGATTAGTGAGCAACTGAGGTCTGCTGACCAGGGGGGGCTCCAAATTCAATCACCCGTCTGACCTGAGCTAGCATATTTCAATTGAGGCAGCAAGTAGCATCACCTATGTGCTTTCACTATTACTGGAAAGTTCAGATGAAAGGCTTTCATGTAATATTAGTGATATTATTAATACCCTTCCAGTAATTGCTGTCTCGGCTCATAACATCAGCAATGGGCTACGTTGGCAAGGTTGGTGGGCAGCCAATACCCATTAAACTGTCCTGCAGCACAGCTTTGATGTTTTCAGAAGGGGGCAGCATTTTTATAAGCATGTTGGGGTACGAGTGTAACCGTGGCTTGGTGAATTGTACCAGATTCTCTCTATTAAAAGACAATAATCTGTATAGATATTGCTATCGACCAGCATCTATTAAAATAGTTGCACATATCAGTTGTCCAGAAATGATGGGTACAGATTATCACAAAAGGTTTAGTCAACCATTACTTTCAGTCGTATATGTTTGCCCACAAAATACAGTCACTCAACTTTACAGTATATCCTGTGAAGCACTTCAAGACATCCTCTCGACATAAAAGGAAGGATGCATCAAATGTAAGGATTATTATTATGGTTGGGACTGACTCAATTTCTAAGATGCTGTTATGTTTATACAAGCATGCAGTTACAAAGACTGGATCTTAATCATTTTTAAGTTAAGTTTAACATTTGTTTGTCAATGCTCAGTTTATCAGTACTCAGACAAGGTCTCAAAGCCATTTCACAACTCAGAAACTGAATAGACCTGGGTGTGTTAGTGCTTGCATTTCCCTCATCTAAACAATGCTAAATCTTTGCATTTGATATAGTGTCTTATCACGCTGAAATGTCTCAAAGCACATCAGAGTTTTTCCTGTAGAGTGAATAACCTTATTTGTAGTTCACCACACTATCTAAATATATTGAAAGAGTACACTATACTTGGGGCTAAACTTCGGACGACAAACAAACTCTTAAAGCAGATAACAACAACCAGAAGACTGCAGAGACACATTCCATAAATCCAACAGCAGCGTCATAACATTTCAAAGCTTCCTTTTAAACCTACTATCTTTCCATGTTAAATGCAGGTTCTACAATTACATAAAATTCTGGGGAATGTCTGTTTCTTTTCTCCAGATTTACAATATAACAAATTAAAGTTGGACTGAGGAACTTGAAAATCAAAAAGTCTCATCATAAGGTTATATATAGATCCAAAATGCAAATTGACCATTATCTGATTTAAATACATTAAAAATAAAACTATGATTATTCCTGAAGCCTCAATTTTACCAATATTAAGAATTTACTCAATGTGATGAAAGCTCATAAAGGAGGTCTAGAGCAAAATACACTATTATTCACCATTTCTGTTTTGAATTCAGTTTTTTAAAAAAAGTTAGGCTACATTTTGAAATCATTTCCAAACTACACTTTAATGTGAGGGTGTGTGCTTTGTGAAAATTCCCATGCACAAGATTGATTTGTACCATTTACTTTATCTCAGTTACTGTTAATCATAAAAATTTCCTAACAATGCAGAAATGAATGCAATTAATGCTGCACAGTGTCATGGAACTGACTTGACATCTCTTTTCTCCCCCCACACGCTCATAAGCAGCCACTTTGCTGAAATTCAATAAATAACACAGCATTAAATAGACTATTTACCTGCACAGAAAAATTGGATCACTTATAGGGGTCAATGTCTATGCTTTTACCACAAATGCAAATACCAAAAGCGTGTAGGAATCTGGTATGTCTACACACAGACCATATGGCACGTAGGTGTGAAAGCTCAGACGCCTAGTGTCTGAAATTTTAAACGCACTTCATCAGGAAAAACCTCAACTCCAGGTCCCTTCCCAATGCTTCCACTGCAGTACTTTGCTCGCACGGTCCACCTCGGGCTGCGCCTTAGGGTTTTACCACTGCAGCTTTCTGGTGAACTGCGACCTACCAAAGGCTCAGAAAGCCCGTGTGTTTCGTCCCGATCTGTCGCTGAACCCGACCGAGAGCTCCTCGCGTCAGTTCACGGCGAGGAGTCAGGTCCCATTCATTCCCAGTCGGCGCGACGCGATCTTAAAGAGGCTTTACGGCACACCCCCGGGCGGCGGGCGCTGAAGGGTTTGGAGCCCAGGATCCGCGGCGGCGGGGAGTGAAACTCGTGTGCCATAAGGCCACCAGAGAACCCAAAGCGACGGGTCGGGTGAGCCCTGGAGGTGAAGCCTGGACTGCGACAGGGGCTCGTCCCCCGACGGCTCGGGTTGGGATCACATTACAGCAGCCGACTCCAAACCCCATTCAAAACCTGCAACAGGAAACAGGGGGGAGGGAGGGGAGGGGAGGGAGGGGGTTTCATGGGCTTTTCTCTCTCTTCTCCCCCCCACCACCACACACACACACACACACACACACAAATAAAACAAATAGACAGGGAAGCAAACCGAAACGATCCGATCCCTCTTCATCCTCAAGGCATTAAGGATTGAGCTGGAGCTGCCCCCCCGCGCTGCTGATCTCTCTCTCTCTCTCTCTCTATTAGGTTTCCAACTATTTTTTTTTGCAAAATAAAGTGAGTTGACTGTTTACTTCAAGGCTGAGCGCTTGACATCCGCCTCCGGCCTCAGATTTTTTTTTGAGCAGCAAAACGAGCCTCTTCAGGAACATCCCCTCAAAAGTCAGAGTGCAACACCAAAACACTAACCAGTCAGGACTTTTACTCTCACCATCGCCACCAGCAATGAGCACATTTAGCTTCACACAAGATGCTGAATTGCACGTACACCATGTCTTCCCCCCCTCACTTCCAAATAACAAGGTGATCTGAACTCCCTTCTTTATTATCACCACCAATTATTATTGTTATTATTGTTATTATAATAATAAAATGGGAAACGTTCCCCCCCCCTTCAGAAACACCAGCAACTAACTCTGCTCCTGGCACTCAACTCGCTGCAAATAACCTCGTCATTCCCAGGTTTCCGAGGAGAATTTTTTTTCCAAAAACAAAATAAAACGTACTGTGTAATAGAAACAAACATGGATCGGGACAGAGAGGGTCGGGATCGGGACAGAGAGGGTCGGGAGAGGGGATCAGGACATCAAATCCCCTTTCCTTTCAACTGCAGAGCAACTCTTCCCCACAAACACAATAAAGAAGGAGAGACTGGGGAAGGGTCAGAGTGAGAGCGGAGGAGAGGGTGTCTGGACCTGGGCACAGGGAGGAGAGAGGGACCAGCCCTAAGGGGGAGGATGAGAGCGGGGAACAGGGCAGAGAGGGTCTGGAGAGGGGCTCAGGGCAGAGAGGGTCTGGAGATGGGGCTCAGGGCAGAGAGGGTCTGGACAGGGGCTCAGGGCAGAGAGGGGCTCAGGGCAGAGAGGATCTGGAGATGGGGCTCAGGGCAGAGAGGGTCTGGAGAGGGGGATCAGGGCAGAGAGGGGTTCAGGGCAGAGAGGGTCTGGAGAGGGGTTCAGGGCAGAGAGGGTCTGGAGAGGGGGATCAGGGCAGAGAGGGTCTGGAGAGGGGGCTCAGTGGGGTTGGGAGCCGGGCTGAGGGAGCTCTCCCGGGCTGCAGTACCTGAGGGGGCTGGTCAGGTCCATGAGGATGGCGCCGGCCGAGCCTCCGTGCGCTGCCGTGTGGCGGCTGTCGTGCCCGGGGTGCAGCGGGTGCAGGTCGGCGCCGAGGGCCGGCGGCTCGGGGCAGTGCTCCCCCGCGCTCGGCTCCGGCTGCTTCTCCACCGAGGAGTCGAAGTCGACGCTCTTCACCTTGCGGAGGTGCTTCCTGTAGGAGGCCAACTGCCGCTGTGCCGAGCCCGGCTCCTCCCGCGCCTCCGAGCCGCCGCCTCCTGCACCACCTCCACCTCCACCGGCGCCTCCGCCTCCTCCTCCCGCTCTGCCACGAGTCCCGCAGGAGCCGCCGCTGTCTCTGTCCGCGAACGCCGCCCGGCTCCCCGCCGCCGCCGCCATCTTGTGTGTTGTGGCCGGGGGTCAGGTAGTGAGGAGGCGGCGAGGGGGCGGGGCCGGGGGGGACTGGGCGGGGCTAGAGCGCGGCCCCGCCCCCTCCTCCTCCCACTCAACCCCTCCCCCCTCCTCCACACCCACACAGCGCCACTCGTTTACTCTTCACGTTAACGTTACTATTGCTTGTACTAATCATGACAGTCGTTGCATTTGATGTTGCACCCTATCACACCGTTGAGGCATAATAATATAACGGCGCCCCGAAGGGCGGTGGCTGGAGCACTCGCCCCGCAAGCGAGAGGTCCCGGGTTCGATTCCCGGGCAGGCGAGACCCTGGGGCGAGTTGGCTAACTCCACGCGCCTCCTCTTGTTTGCCGAGCAGTAAGTTGGAACCCGGTCGTTAGTCGATTGGCAGATCGCTCTCCACGGGTAGTAATCGCTCCCAAAAAAATAATGTGGTCACTCAATCCATGACTGCTTGTGGGACATTGCTGTGCGCAATTGGCTGCCACATTTCGCCCACAAAGAACACTGTCATCTCACTTTGAGATGTGTTGAAGACACGATAAGGCGCTGTATCAAATGGAAGGATTCTTATTATATAAAGCACTTCATAAAATATACTGTGAAGTTGATTAACTGCGCACTGTATTTTGTGGGTGAAATGCAACACCTAGTTTGCACACAGCAATGTCCCACAAATCACCATGGAGCGAATGACCAATTTTTATTTTGGGAGATTCGTTGGCCAGGACACCAGGAGAAACTTCTTTCTCTTTTCTTTTATTACAACAACAATAACAACAACAAAATTAGAATTGTAAAGTGCTTTTCATGTCAGGAGGATGTCCCAAAGAGCTGAACAGTCAGGGATCAGGACCCGAACGTGGGAGATGGAATGAGGGAGGGCAGAGAGGGTAGGAGGGCGGCTGAAGGCACTGTCAAAAAGGAGGGTCTTGAAGGAAGCAAGAGAGGGAGCAAGGCGAAGGGATTGTGGGATGCAGTTCCAAAGCATGAAGTCAGAGAGGCTGAAAGAGACTTGGAGCAGGCCGGAGCCTGCTGAGCGGAGGGAGTGGACAGGTTGATAGGGGGTCACCAGGTCAAAGATGTAGGAGGGGGCAAGGCCACGGAGGGCCTTGAAAGTGAGGATGAGGATTTTGCATTCTATCCTCTGGGAGATGGGGAGCCAGTGGAGCCGGGCGAGGGTCACGGAGTCTGGTGGGGGAGAGGACACGAGCTGCAAAGTTCTGGATGAGCTGCAGCTTGTGGAAGGAAGAGTTCGGGAAGCCGACAAGGAGGGAGTTTCCATAGTCACGCCTTGAGGTGACAGATGCTTATATGAGGGTTTCGGCGGCCTGAGGGGTGAGGCAGTGGTGGAGTTTGGCAATGTTGCGGAGATAAGGGCAGACAGAGAGGGTCATGGCATGGATATGGGGAAGAAAGGACAGTTGAGGGTTGAACAAGATGCCCCGGTTCCTAACTGGCTTTGTGAAGTGGAGTGTGTAACCATAGATGCTGATGTTGCCGGTGCCTGAGGTGCTGAGGCTCTGGCATGAGCCAATCAGGAGGGCCTCGGACTTGCTGACATTCAGCTGTAGAAAGTTGGCTCTCATCCAGGACTTGATGTCAGACAAACAGTCTGTCAGGACATCAGTTGTCCTGGAATCGATGGTGGAGGCAGAGAGATAGAGTTGGGTGTCATCCACGTACATGTGGAAGTTGACCACATGTCTATGGATGGGTCACCAAGAGGGAGCACATAGAGGTTGAAGAGGAGTGGACTGAGGACAGAGCCCTGAGGAAGACTGCATGAGACAATGCAGGGGCTGGAAGAGAAACCGTTGGCAGAAACAAATTGGAGATGGTGTGAGAGATGAGACCTAAACCATTCAGAGACAGAACCTTGAAGGTTCAGGTGAGTGGAGAGGCAGTAGAGGAGGATAGAGTGGTCAACAGAATCGAATTAAGAGCCATTACTGTTCACGAGTATCAGCCTAAGGTCCCTGGTGCCCAGGAAGCGGTTCTGGTTGGAGTCAATGAGAGTGTGAGGCTCAACATGAGGGAGTGTGGGTCACATTTTCTCTCTCTCAGGAAATTGTAAACCAGCCCCTCTCCCCATGTATATCCCTGTGTGCACAAACAGTTTTGCTCACTCCCCATGTACACCCTCTGTGTGTGCAACGACTGCTGCTCTCATTGTTCAATGGGTAGGCATACATGTGCAAACTTTGGGCAGGAGGAGGGTAGCAATACCCTCATATATGCAATCTAACAATAACAGCAACTAGCATTTATATAATGCCCTTCACTCAGGGTAGCATCTCAGAGTGCTTATTCCACCTTGTGAGGTCTCAAATCTGCACTTGTTCAATGTCAAGTAACCAACCAGTAACTATCTTCCTATGGGATACGTGGGGTCTACTTGGGGTTGAGCTGGCTCCAAGGTGATGTGATGGCAACCAAATATGGAATTGTCAGCCCTCAGTGGTGGTCTCCATACTCCGGTTCCTTAGCCAGGAACGGAAATTCTGCTTTGGCGAGTTCTGAGTAAATGTAACTGGAAACCATTAAGCATGGAAAGAAATCTCTTTGATTGTCAGGCAGTAGTGCGACTCCCAAATAGGGAGGGAAAATAATAATCCTTGCATCTAATCCTTGATATAGTGCATTATCATATCTTCGAGATGTCTCAAAGCGCTTCACAGAATATACCAGGTTCCTATTTACTGCTGGGTAAACAGAGGCATATGGAGTAAGGAAATTTGCCCAACATTTCGCCCTACTGGGAATCTAACCCAGGTCTCTCACTTGCGAGTCGAGCGCTCTAACTACTGAGATACAGGACTCCACTACTCCAAGTGAAGGGCATTTATGTAAATGCAAGTTGCTGTTGTTGTTGATTTACATGTATGAGAGCATTGCCACCATAAATGTCCCCATTCACAGTATCAAATTGTTGGATGACTGACTCACAGTTTCATCTAATTGGCATACCCTGGGTTGCTAAGACTCCATTTAGTCCAAACAAAGGATTTTACCATCATTATCATATTCTTCTTTCTCCTCCCCCTCAAAAAAGATAAGAATCTAAGTCTTTATTAAACAGATACATCTGAAAATAAACACTTACTCACTAAGGTAGAAAGAAGCTGCATTTCATAGCGCCACGCACATCACAATATCTCAAAACACTTCACAGTAATTATTGTCAAGTGCAGTGATTTCTTTTGGAGAAACGTATAGCAATTATTATACACACAATATCCCACAAACAACCAAAATGTGAATGACCTGGAGAATTATTGGCCTGGACACTAGGAGAAACACCCTTCTCTTTTCAAATAATTAACAAGGACTTAACAATTGTTCTGACCTGAACATTCTAGGCAGGGTGTCACTGACCCTATTTTGCAGGCTCTGGTCTTGTCTATGATATAGTGTCAGATATCTCTCAAAATTTGGGATTACCCATGTACAAGGGGCCAATTGGAAGGGGTTCGGACCTAGGCACAAGCCAATTGGCAGGCAAATTGTCTTGAATTATCAGGAGAGAAGTTGGGCCTCTTCTGTTTTCATCAACAAATCTGAAGTTAAGCCACATATCCTTGGCTGAGCCCTATAACCATTGTGTGTTGAACAAAGAGGGTGGAATTTAATTTTTTTTTGACTGACAGGATTATGTAATAACAACTTGAAATTGTGTAGTGCCTTTCATGTAGGATGAGTGTTTCGAAATGATTCATCACAGGGATGATAGGGAATACTTAGCAGGGAGGAGAGGAAGAGGAGTAGATTCCAAAGTTTAAAATGAAATATAGAAATCTATCTCAGAGACTTTTGAAAGAGAACTGTGAAATAGTTTTTTTTTTGTTTTATTGCACCGCAAAGTCACCAAATCTGCCCATATTCACAATGATGGCTCACACCTGAGTCATGGCTACTTGGACAAGATACTTGAGAGCAACTACTGTAATTTCTAGGAACCTTACTCTACTCTAAACATAAGTTTTGCCCACACACTATTCAATCAATTGACCTCACAGTATATTCTGTGAACCACTTTGAGATGTCTCAACGACATGATAAGGCGCTATATCAAATGCAAGGATTATTATATTATAAATCAGTACCTTCAGAAGAGGAAGGTAGAAACTGGAGTAGGAGAAAATATAGACTTCTAGGCAAGGGTGGGAGCAGTCTGCCCGCTTGCCCTTTAGTTGAGAAAATGGTGCACGTCCTATGGGAAGGCACTTGTACGGAACAAATCTTTAAGCCATTGGGGAGGGGGAAGTTAAATAATCTGCTTTTTACTCCATCTCTCTGTGCCTAATTAGATTAAATGACAGTCATTATGGTTGGTGCCCTCCTGTCTAGATCCCAGGCCATCTGCCATTGAACAGTTGGGTGTTGTGGTTCACATTAAGTGCTATCAAAAAAGTATGCGGAATGCCAAAACTACATGTTAGATATTGGGCCTTCTGGGAGGAATGCTGCAACATACTCCTCAGAACATCTGCCAGCTCATTGTTTTTTTCATAATTTTGCTAGTCACCAAGGATGTCTGTTTGATTTTCCCAAGGAGACAGTGAAACCGGTTCCGCAATTTTGTGACTGAGTATGAGAACTGAAAATACATGAGGAGCATATTCTATAGACTTTACAATAGAGTTTTGACTACATGCTCCGCTCAGGAATCGCATGTTCCACATCAAACTACAGGCTGCTGTGGAAGTACATCAATGGATAGCTTTCACATCATGTAATCTTGACTGACCTGTGCTGAGCTGAGTAATGAAAGTTTATTTTGAATGTCTGTGGCAGCTTCTTTTCAGCCTCTGGGAATCTGTATGTGTGCTTGTACTGTGAAGTATGGGTCCTGCGAACATCTGTAGAGAGAGAACTTGGTAACATGAGAATCTGATTACTGATAAATGTTTGATAGGCTTTGAGGCTCAATTCACATCTGATAAAATCGACAAACACACTACTTTAAACAAAACACAAAA